ATCAATGATACATAAGCGGTACTTCTTGAGCGCACAGTGTCTTTTCCGGACGCTGAAGTTAACAGCTTTCCACAATATTCTGTCCTTTGTTGCTCTTAATAACTTCAGTCTTTTTGCCATGTCTCCTAAATGTTACTCTCCAATTCATTCGCTCAAGCCCGCAAGGTAGGTTGTGTGATGCTTTCATCTGGTCCTCCAACCTACAATCTGTCTTATGAGTATCAAATTTTCAAAGCCTTATTTTCTCATTATGTGCCCCAGAAATTTCAACTGTCTTTTCCTGATGCTAAGTATAAGTATCCTTTTTGTTGCCACTATCACTAAAACTTCGTTGTTGCCCACATGCTGATCCATAAGTGAGCAGGATTCGGAGACATTAGAATGGTCGATGGCAAAAGCTTGACGAAATAAAGATATTGCGAATTGAATATTTCAGTTATATTGACTGCATTTATCAACACGATCATATATTTATTCATAGTAATTATTTGGAAATATTTACAGCGAATAGAATTAGAAGAAAGTAATTAAAATATTAAAAACCCAACAATGAAAAGCTTGTATGGACACCTTCTGTCTGTCTCAGATAGACGGCGATGTTTGACAGATATGGTTGGAAGGAACGAGTCAGGAGAATTCGAGAAGAATTCTCTACCTGATGATGTAATTCATTAATGTCCAACTGTTTCCCAAGACAAAGAGGAACTACTTTAAGGCCACAGTAGAATCTGTCTTGATATACGACTCAACAACATGGACACTGACGAAACACGAAAAGCATCACTTGATGGAACATACACAAGGATGTTACGAGTAGCATTGGACATCAGTTGGAAGAAACAGCCGACAAAAAACGTATGTATGGACAACCTCCATCAATCTCAGTTTCGCTAAGAGAGAGAAGGCCTCGACTAGCTGCTCACACCTGGAGAAGTAAGTCGGAACATGTGAGTGACACCCTCCTATGGAAACCATTGCACGGCAAAACATAGGTTGGAAGACTTCATCACACCTACATTGACCAACTTGCGGATGACCCTGGATGTCATCTGGAAGACCTGCCGTCAGTGATGTCTGACAGAGATGACTGGAGGAAACGAGTCAGGAAGAAGAATTGTCGACGATGATGAGGATGAATTAAAATATTCTAAATAATTGTGACATAATTTGTAAATCATTCAATATTTAGATGTTTAGCACGTGGCCGAGTGGTTAGAACGCTCGCTTTCTGACCCCGGTTCGAATCTCACCATGGTCGATTGGCTAGGAAGGTGACTTCTTGATGTTATCGGACTGGAGGGGTCGGCCCCAACGTGCGGTGCCTTTGAAAAATGTCCGAAAACCATACCACGGGTTGACCTAAGCCTTGTGAGTGAAATTGGATAGATGGAAACCTTGGGGACAGTCGATGGCTGTGCTAGCACGAAGTCACAAGTCATCGTGACCGAGGGTTAGAACGTGCTGTTCTTGTTCAGAGTGTTGATCACTTAGGTCTGCTCAACATAGTTACAGTATAGACCACATTTGGGCTCACTGGGTGTTGAACAAACACAAAATGCGCCTGAGCAAGCGTCTGCATAAGGAATTAGCTAGCCGCCTTAGTATACAGTTATTCTCGAATAAGAATGGCCATCAATCAGATATTTAGTAAAAATAAATAAATAAATAAAGAAGAAATATGGACGTAGTAATAAATTCGTATCATTTTTTTTTATCTGAAATGATCAGTGTATAATGCTCAGTCTCCGTGGCTAATATAATGGAGTTGGGGTAAGTGACAACGAAGAGTCGATCTATTTATCAATCAATATAATTGCTGGATACTCTAGATTTCCGAGCACACCCGACTGGAGGGCGCCCAGCCAGTCCATGTCTCGACATTAGCTCAGTCATATCTATGTCAATTCAACACTCACGAGGCCGACCTGTGGCTTAAACAGCGACAATGCTGAGCGGACATTAGTCCCAGTTTCTGGGAGAGAGCGTATAAACTGAGATAATCAGAAATCTGACCAATGCCAGTACTCTAAAACACTCGGTCACGATGACTTGTGATTTCGTGTTCGTACAACTATCAACAACTTCCAAACAGTAAATGGCTGATACTCCCTGAACAGGTCCGTCTACGAAACTCTGGATTCGGGATGCTGATGGTAACATAAATTACTACGTCCTAAATTTGACTCACATTAATCCTATATATATATATATATATATATATATGAAAATTTCTCCGATTTAATCGGTAGAGAAGACAATATTTATGAATAAAAATGACAATAGAGTTTTCCTATTGTCATTTTATTCATAAATATATATATATATAAAAGTAAACATAGAAGTCCAACACTTAGAGGCGAGAGTCTGTTTCATGCTATATGCAGTCGTCAGGCCTGACCATTGCATATAGCATGAAACAGACTGTCGCCCTAAGTGCTGACTTATGTTCACTTTTTATATTTACACACACTCATCTCTGATATCGAGCACTTCATCCCAT